CCGACCCCATTCCCCCTCACTCGGCTACCCCCTCATCACCCTCTCCCACGGCCCCACCACTGCTCTGACCTCCACTCCCACCCCACCCTACATTCCTCATACTGAAGCTCCCCCAACACTCCACACCTTTGACCTTACTACCATTGAGGAAGTCTCCAAGATCCTCTCTGATGCCCGCCTCACCACCTGCCCCCTCGACCCTATCCCCTCACAATTCCTACGACCTCCCTCCCCCTCCATCCTACGCTCCCTCACCCACATCTTTAATCTCTCCCTCTCCTCCGGCACTTTCCCCTCCCCACTGAAGCATGCACACATCACCCCCATACTTAAAAAGCCCTCCCTGGACCCCAATGACCCGAACAACCTCAGACCCATCTCCCTGCTCCCACTTACATCTAAACTCCTCGAGCGTCTCGTCTACACCCGCCTATGCTCTCACCTCAACGACAACAACCTCCTCGATCCCCTACAGTCTGGCTTCCGCCCCCTACACTCCACCGAAACCGCCTTACTCAAAACTCTCCAACGACCTTCTAACCGCCAAAGCTAATGGCCACTATTCAGTGCTCCTACTCCTTGACCTCTCTGCGGCCTTCGACACAGTTGACCACCCCCTCCTCCTCAAAATACTACACTCCCTCGGCCTCAGAGATTCTGCTCTCTCCTGGCTCTCATCCTACCTGTCACAACGCTCTTTCAGCGTTACCTATAATGCTACCACCTCCCCCTCACTCCCCCTCTCTGTTGGGGTCCCTCAAGGCTCTGTCCTTGGGCCCCTTCTCTTCTCCATCTACACCTCCTCCCTTGGCCAACTCATACACTCTCACGGCTTCAACTACCACCTCTATGCCGACGACACACAAATCTATCTCTCAACCCCCCACCTCACCCCTTCGGTCTCTGCCCAAATCACACACCTACTGAGCGACATATCAGATTGGATGTCGCTCCACTTCCTTAAACTGAATCTCTCCAAAACCGAGCTCCTTGTCTTCCCCCCAGCCCGAACCCCACCCCCCATTGACTTCTACATCACATCCAACAACGTCAATATCAAACCCGCTCTGCAGGCCAGAGTACTTGGTGTCATTCTGGACTCCAACCTATCCTTCCAGCCCCAAGTCCAATCTTTAACAAACTCGTGCAGACTCCACCTCCGCAACATCGCCAAAATCCGCACGTTCCTAACCCCAGAAACCACTAAACAGCTCATCCACTCCCTCATCATATCACGACTCGACTACTGCAACTCCCTCCTCACTGGCCTGCCTCGCCGCTGGCTATCCCCGCTTCAGTTGATCTTGAATACGGCTGCCAGACTCATTCACCTTTCCAACCGCTCCATTTCCGCCACCCCCCTCTGCCAATCCCTCCACTGGCTTCCGATTGCGCAACGGATCAAATTTAAAATCCTAACACTGACGTACAAAGCTGTCCACCATACTGCCCCGAACTACATCACTGACCTAATATCCAAGTACCCGCCCAGCACGCACACTCCGCTCCTCACAAGACCTCCTTCTCTCTAGTTCCCTGGTCTCCTCCTCCCATGCCCGCCTCCAGGACTTCTCCAGGGTGTCACCCATCCTCTGGAACTCCCTGCCCCAACCCATCAGATTATCACCTACTCTCCTCTCCTTTAGGCGCACCCTGAAAACCCATCTCTTCAGGGAAGCCTACCTCACCCCTTGCTAACTTGCTGACCTCCTCCACTCTTCCTACCACTCCATCCCCCACAGCTATCTCCTCCTGTACCACTATCCCATCCCTTCTAGATTGTAAGCTCGAAAGAGCAGGGCCCTCGATCCCCTCATGTTTTGCATTGTATTGGTATTGTTCTGTCACATGTTCTGTCCCCCTTTGTAATGTACAGCGCTGAGTGAACTATTGGCGCTTTATAAATACTGTATAATAATAATAATAATAATAAAAAGCCATGGGAGTTTATCAAGTGACCAAGGGAGGAGGTTTAGATGGAGAAGAGTAGGGGGGTCCAAGGACAGAACCTTGAGGGACCCCTACAGAAAGAGGGAGTGGAGTGGAGGAGCCAGAGTTATAGGTAATGCTGACGATTGGTAGGAGGAGAACCAGGAGAGAGCAGAGTCATGGAGGCCAAGAGAGTGGAGTTTTTTGAGGAGGAGCGGATGGTCAACAGTATCAAAAGCCGCAGAGAGGTCAAGTAGTAAGAGTATGGAGTAGTGGCCATTGGTTGGGATGAATACGGAGTAGTGGCCATTGGTTGGGATGAGTATGGAGTAGTGGCCATTGGTTGGGATGAGTATGGAGTAGTGGCCATTGGTTGGGATGAGTACGGAGTAGTGGCCATTGATTGAAATGAGTACGGAGTAGTGGCCATTGGTTGGGATAAGTACAGAGTAGTGGCCATTGGTTGGGATGAGTATGGAGTAGTGGCCATTGGTTGGGATGAGTACGGAGTAGTGGCCATTGATTGAAATGAGTACCGAGTAGTGGCCATTGATTGAAATGAGTACGGAGTAGTGGCCATTGGTTGGGATAAGTACGGAGTAGTGGCATTGGTTAGGATGAGTATGGAGTAGTGGCCATTGGTTGGGATGAGTACGGAGTAGTAGGCCATTGATTGAAATGAGTACAGAGTAGTGGCCATTGGTTGGGATAAGTACGGAGTAGTGGCCATTGGTTGGGATGAGTACAGAGTAGAGGTCATTGGGTGAGATGAGTACGGAGTAGTGGCCATTGGTTGGGATGAGTATAAAGTAATGGCCATTGGTTGGGATGAGTACGGAGTAGTGGCCGTTGGTTAGGATGAGTACGGAGTAGTGGCCATTGGTTGGGATGAGTACGGAGTAGAGACCATTGGATGGGATGAGTACGGAGTAGTGGCCATTGGTTGGGATGAGTACGGAGTAGTGACCATTGGTTGGGATGAGTACGGAGTAGCGGCCATTGGTTGGGATGAGTACGGAGTAGTGGCCATTGGTTGGGATGAGTACGGAGTAGTGGCCATTGGTTGGGATGAGTACGGAGTAGTGGCCATTGGTTGGGATGAGTACGGAGTAGTGACCATTGGTTGGGATGAGTACGGAGTAGTGGCCATTGGTTGGGATGAGTACGGAGTAGTGACCATTGGTTGGGATGAGTACGGAGTAGTGGCCATTGGTTGGGATGAGTACGGAGTACGGAGTAGTGGCCATTGGTTGGGATGAGTACGGAGTAGTGACCATTGGTTGGGGTGAGTACGGAGTAGTGGCCATTGGTTTGGGATGAGTACGGAGTGAGTACGGAGTAGTGACCATTGGTTGGGGTGAGTACGGAGTAGTGGCCATTGGTTGGGATGAGTACGGAGTAGTGACCATTGGTTGGGGTGAGTACGGAGTAGTGGCCATTGGTTGGGATGAGTACGGAGTAGTGGCCATTGGTTGGGGTGAGTACGGAGTAGTGGCCATTGGTTGGGGGTGAGTACGGAGTAGTGGCCATTGGTTGGGATGAGTACGGAGTAGTGGCCATTGGTTGGGATGAGTACGGAGTAGTGGCCATTGGTTGGGATGAGTACGGAGTAGTGGCCATCGGTTGGGATGAGTACGGAGTAGTGACCATCGGTTGGGATGAGTACGGAGTAGTGGCCATCGGTTGGGATGAGTACGGAGTAGTGGCCATTGGTTGGGGTGAGTACGGAGTAGTGGCCATTGGTTGGGATGAGTCCGGAGTAGTGGCCATTGGTTGGGATGAGTACGGAGTAGTGTCCATTGGTTGGGATGAGTACGGAGTAGTGGCCATTGGTTGGGATGAGTCCGGAGTAGTGGCCATTGGTTGGGATGAGTACGAGTACGGAGTAGTGGCCATTGGTTGGGATGAGTACGGAGTAGCGGCCATTGGTTGGGATGAGTACGGAGTAGCGGCCATTGGTTGGGATGAGTACGGAGTAGCGGCCATTGCTTGGGATGAGTACGGAGTAGCGGCCATTGGTTGGGATGAGTACGGAGTAGTGGCCATTGGTTGGGATGAGTACGGAGTAGTGGCCATTGGTTGGGATGAGTACGGAGTAGTGGCCATTGGTTGGTTGGGATGAGTACGGAGTAGTGGCCATTGGTTGGGATGAGTACGGAGTAGTGGCCATTGGTTGGGATGAGTACGGGAGTAGTGGCCATTGGTTGGGATGAGTACGGAGTAGTGGTGGTAGTAGTGACATTGGTTGGGATGAGTACGGAGTAGTGGCCATTGGTTGGGATGAGTACGGAGTAGTGACCATTGGTTGGGGTGAGTGAGTACGGAGTAGTGGCCATTGGTTGGGATGAGTACGGAGTAGTGGCCATTGGTTGGGGTGAGTACGGAGTAGTGGCCATTGGTTGGGGTGAGTACGGAGTAGTGGCCATTGGTTGGGATGAGTACGGAGTAGTGGCCATTGGTTGGGATGAGTACGGAGTAGTGGCCATTGGTTGGGATGAGTACGGAGTAGTGGCCATCGGTTGGGATGAGTACGGAGTAGTGACCATCGGTTGGGATGAGTACGGAGTAGTGGCCATTGGTTGGGGTGAGTACGGAGTAGTGGCCATTGGTTGGGGTGAGTACGGAGTAGTGGCCATTGGTTGGGATGATGAGTCCGGAGTAGTGGCCATTGGTTGGGATGAGTACGGAGTAGTGTCCATTGGTTGGGATGAGTACGGAGTAGTGGCCATTGGTGGATGAGTCCGGAGTAGTGGCCATTGGTTGGGATGAGTACGGAGTAGCGGCCATTGGTTGGGATGAGTACGGAGTAGCGGCCATTGGTTGGGATGAGTACGGAGTAGCGGGCCATTGGTTGGGATGAGTACGGAGTAGTGGCCATTGCTTGGGATGAGTACGGAGTAGTGGCCATTGCTTGGGATGAGTACGGAGTAGTGGCCATTGGTTGGGATGAGTACGGAGTAGTGGGCCATTGGTTGGGATGAGTACGGAGTAGTGGCCATTGGTTGGGATGAGTACGGAGTAGTGGCCATTGGTTGGGATGAGTATGGAGTAGTGGCCATTGGTTTTAGCAGTTAGTAGTAGATCATTAGTGAGGTTTAGTAGGGCAGTCTCAGTGGAGTGTAGTGAGTGAAAAGCCAGACTGTAAAGGGTGAAGAAGGTTGTTGTCGGTGAGGTGGGAGGAGCTCAGGTGATTGTAGACTAAGCGTTCTAGGAGGCTAGAGGTAAATGGCAGCAGGGAGATGGGTCTTAAGTTGTTCAGGTTGGTGGGGTCCAGGGAGGGCTTTTTAAGTATGGGTGTGATGAGCGCATGCTTTAGAGGGGAGGGGAAGGCACCAGTAGAGAGGGAGAGATTGAAGATGTGAGTGAGGGAGCATAGGATGGAAGAAGAGGATGACCATAGTGGTTGTGAGGGGACAGGATCCAGGGGGCAGGTAGTGAGACGGACTTCTGAGAAGACCTTAGTGACCTCTTCAGTAGTAGGAAGGTCAGAAGAGGAAAGTGTTGAGGGAGGTTTAGTACAAGGTATGCTAAGTGGGATGGATGTCTGTGCAGTGGAGATGTCCCTACGAATTGCGTCAATCTTGTTTTTGAAATGATTTGCAATCTCATAAGCAGTGAGTGAGTTGGAGGTGGAGAAAGTAGAGAGAGTTAAAAGTAGAAAAGAGATGACGAGGACTGGATGACAAGGTATCGATGAGAGTGACAAAGTAGGCTTTGTTTGGCAGCATGGAGGGAGGAACTGTAGGTTAACAAAGCAAATTTATATCGGGTGAAAGCTTGGTGAGATTTGGTTTTACGCCACAATCGCTCCAGCGCACAACTATGTCACTTAAGATTTCTGGTGTCATCAGTCTGTCACGGTTGTAATAGTGCCCCATCATTGGTGTTAGTGGGAGGAATAGTGCCCTATCATTGGTATCAGTGGACAAATTAATACCCCATCATAGGTGTGAGTGTGAGGAATAGTGCCCCATCATTGGTGTCAGTGGGAGGAATAGTGCTCCATCATTGGTGTCAGTGGGAGGAATAGTGCCCCATCACTGGTGCCAGTGGGAGGAATAGTGCCCCATCATTGTGTCAGTGGGAGGAATAGTGCTCCATCATTGGTGTCAGTGGGAGGAATAGTGCCCATCATTGGTGTCAGTGGGAGGAATAGTGCCCCATCATTGGTATCAGTGGAAGGAATAGTGCCCCATCATTGGTGTCAGTGGAGGAATAATGCACCATCATGGTGTCAGTGGGAGGAATAGTGTCCCATCATTGGTATCAGTGGGAGAAATAGTGCCCCATCATTGGTGTCAGTGGAATGAATAGTGCCCCATCATTGGTGTCAGTGGGAGGAATAGTGCCCCATCATTGGTGTCAGTGGGAGGAAGAGTGTCTCATCATTGGTGTCAGTGGGGGGAATAGTGCCCCATCATTGGTGTCATTCGGACAAATAGTGCCCCATCATTGGTATCAGTGGGAGGAATAGTACCCCATCATTGGTATCAGTGGGTGGAATAGTGCTCCATCATTGGTGTCATTTGGAAGAATAATACCCCATCATTGGTATCAGTGGGTGGAATAGTGCTCCATCATTGGTGTCAGTGGGAAGAATAGTGCCCCATCATAGGTGTCAGTGGGAGGAATAGTGCCCCATCGTTGGTGTCAGTTGGAGGAATAGTGCCCCATCATCGGTGTCAGTGGGAGGAATAGTGCCCCATCATCGGTGTCAGTGGGAGGAATAGTGCCCCATCATGGGTATCAGTGGGAGGAATAGTGCCCCATCATTGGTGTCAGTGGGAGGAATAGTGCCCCATCATTGGTGTCAGTGGGAGGAATAGTGCCCCATCATTGGTGTCAGTGGGAGGAATAGTGCCCCATCATTGGTGTCAGTGGGAGGAATAGTGCCCCATCATTGGTGTCAGTGGGAGGAATAGCGCCCCATCATTGGTATCAGTGGGAGGAATAGTGCCCCATCATTGGTGTCAGTGGGAGGAATAGTGCCCCATCATTGGTGTCAGTGGGAGGAATAGTGCCCCATCATTGGTGTCAGTGGGAGGAATAGCGCCCCATCATTGGTATCAGTGGGAGGAATAGTGCCCCATCATTGGTGTCAGTGGAAGGAACAGAGTCTATCATGATATCCAGAGTGTCACATGACACGCAGCAACAACTAAACCCAAAATATCAGGGAACTGCAGACAACAGAGTGACATGGCACAGAGGTCTGATCTATGTTGGGATTGTTCATTCCATTAATTTTATTAGTGAAAAGAAAGTTGGAATTCATCTTTAAGCATTAGTATGGTACCACTCCATAGCAGACATGTGAGTTTCGTTACAAATCGATTTTCGGAGATTCGGATGTATACAAATCTCCGAATGGACATAGAAATGGATGTGAACGAATCTGAAAAAAAGTTAAAACGAAATTATTAAATGCATTCTTTTCATTGGGATGGTGTCACATGATGCGATAGTAGTTCAGTCCCATTGGGGAAATGAATTCAATGTCGGATCATGTGATGCCAGTCGATATTCAATCAGCTCGTGCCATTTCTCTTGGTGGGTTGGACTAGCAAGAAAAGATATTGAATCCTTTAGAATAGTTTCGATATACTGCTAAATTTTTCGAATCCACCCAGACCTACGAATATATATACACGAGACAAATGCTGAAGATACGAAAACGAATTCCAAAAACGAATTGCTTCAACATACCGAATATGACAAAAGGAAATTCTTCACGCCGGCTTCACTGACCCATAAGATGGCAGTCAACTGAACTGTAGAAATGCTGAACCCAATCTTAACTGGTGCAAACAGGGTTAAAAGTATCGGCATTAACTAATTCAGAAATTAAATGTCCTTGTGTGCATACAGCCCCAGTAGTCAGGGGGTGTAAGCATTCCTGACAAAGAGGTACCCCTGGAGGTGACTACAAGTACCTGGCACCTAATTGTCAGTATTAGCCAGCTTTCGTTGGGGCCCTTCTGTATGGTGGAGCATGAGAAGCTTTCCTTTTTAGAGCAAGGAGCAGTCTCTATTGCATTAATTGTGTCAGTGTTGAGATAGGCACACATGGTTCAGCTCGCCACTCCTGGTACAGAGGTATCCAGTCCAGGTCACTTGGCGGTCTGCTGTCTTCAGGTACCCAGGATCAGGTGACTCGGTCCTCATGATCAGATCTTCATGAACAGGCTCTCACAAGGCTCCGTCCCTCAATTCTGGTCCTTGCGGACTCTGTCCTCTCTGGCGTAGGCACGGGTCTCCCCAGCTCTGGTCCAATGACACAGCGACTGTCTGTGGCTCAGTCCTCATCTCTGTTCTGCTAGCTCTCCGGACAAACATGGGGGAAGGTGCAGCATGGTGCAGGCAGTAACACACATTGCCTTCTGGGAAATCCCAGAACTAAACTAATCTTGTGTGATCTTGGGGAAGGTTTTTTCTATCTCCAACAGATACCTGTAGCATTGTACGGCACGAGATGACGTCATGCTCTTCATATTGCCCATGCGCAGTATCATGGACATTGCCTTCTGGGAAATCCCATAACTAAACTAATCTCATGAGATTTTGGTGAAGGTTTTTTTTTCCTCCAACAGATGCCTGTAGTGTTGTATGGCACGAGATGACGTCATGCTCTTCATATCGCCCAAGGGCAGTATTTTAGACACTGCCTTCTGGGAAATCCAATAACTGAACTAATCTCATGAGATTTTTTGGTGAAGGTTTTTTTTCCTCCAACAGATGCCTGTAGTGTTGTATGGCACGAGATGACGTCATGCTCTTCATATCGTCCATGCGCAGTATCATGGACATTGCCTTCTGGGAAATCCCATAACTGAACTAATCTCGTGAGATCTCGTAGAAGGTTTTTTTCCTCCAACAGATGTCTGTAGTGTTGTACGTCACGAGATGACGTCATGCTCTTCATATCGCCCAAGGGCAGTATTTTAGACACTGCCTTCTGGGAAATCCAATAACTGAACTAATCTCATGAAATCTTGGGGAAGGTTTTTTTTATCTCCAACAGATAGCTGTAGTGTTGTATGGCACAAGGTGACGTCATGCTCTTCACATCACCCATGCGCAGTATCATGAACATTGCCTTCTGGGAAATCACAGAACTAAACTAATCTTGTGTGATCTTCGGGAATGTTTTTTTTATCTCCAGCAGATACCTGTAGCGTTGTACGGCACGAGATGATGTCATGCTCTTCATATCACCCATGGGCAGTATCATGGACATTGCCTTCTGGGAAATCCCATAACTAAACTCAGCTCATGAAATCTTGGGGAAGGTTTTTTTTTTTCCCCTCCAACAGATACCTGTAGTATTGTATGGCACGTGATGACGTCATGCTGTCAGGGATGCGGGTATGACCAGAAGTGTGTGGACTGACACAGGGAAACGCAGGCTTCAGATATAGTAAATAATATAATTTATTAAGACTAACAATACAAACGCAGTGCAAACAAACTGAACCAAACCACCCACAGATAACAAACATACAATACAAGAGTAGTCAGGCAGGCCAGGTCGGTAGCAAACGGGCAAACGGAGTACCAGGAGCAGGCGGGAGAGTGGTCAGGACTAGCCGAGGTCAGTACAGGCAGAGTTCAGGCAGCGTCAGGACAGTAGTAACAGGATCAGGAAACCAGGGCCAAGCAAACAGTACAACAAGGCACTGACTGCAGGTCTGACCATCCCTTAAATACACCACCTGCAATCAGCCTCAGGTGATGGCTCATTGCAGGAGTGAGCCTCTGGTTGTTGAGAGCACCCGCTGGCCAGCCCTGGTACTGCAGCCCACAAGGCAGGTGAGTCCCACCACTATTGGCAAGTCCATTCCTGACACATGCTCTTCATATCGCCCATGCGCAGTATCATGAACATTGCCTTCTGGGAAATCTCATAACTGAAATAATCTCGTGAGATCTCATGGAAGTTTTTTTTTAACTCCAACAGATGCCTGTAGTGTTGTATGGCACGGGATGACGTCATGCTCTTCATAACGCCCAGGGGCAGTATCATGGACATTTTAAAAATGGTGGCATGAGAACAGAGACCCAGGCAGCACAGAGGCAGGACAAAACTAGGCGAGTATGAAGAAAAAGTCACAGGATATAGGTAGGTATTTCGCCCGTATTCAAGGTACCCCGTAGGAACCAAGCAGAATCCATCATGTACAAGTCAGACCAGGGGCGGACTGACAACTCATGGGGATCATGGGGCCCCTGTGTCCTCACCCACAGCTAAAAAAAAGCCTATGAAAAAGCCAATTAAAGGTACCAGCGGCATCTCATGGGGCCCCCTACTGACCCCGGGCCCTCGGGCAGTGCCTGAGTGGCCAAATGGTCAGTCCGCCCCTGGGCCAGACTTTACTAGGCTGATTTCGCCAAGGAATTAGCACCCTTTCTCTTGACTAGAGCTTTGAAAGACTTTAGGAAAAGTATTGTTATGCTAGAACACTGTCTACATTCCCTCGTAATTACTATACAGGGGTTATTATAGGATGTTTTGGGTATTGCCACGCCCTACAGACTGAGAAACCTATTATATATTGTTACAGAGCAAAACAAAATATTATCCGTCTCACGTATTTCCTTCTTCCTCGTTTTGAGCTCTTCGTGATCCACCTGTGATTGTTACACCCAACAGAGGACAGGTTTTTCTGATCCTCGATCCTTTGACGTCATTTAATTATCAGAGGAATTTCCATTTCAGTAGAATAAGGAAAGGCTTTGGGATGTGAAGCCGTGTTTTCTGGCCTCAAAAAGTCGGCTGAGGGACATTGACTTACCGGTTTTCCAGACCATCACAGCTACTCGTCACCCAAAAAGAGATGCCCGTAGCGAAGGGAAACGAAAAGAAAAGAGCGCAGGGCAGACATGACGAGGCCGAGAGTGGTTAAAAAAGACAGGAAAGGGTTCAGAAAGTACGAGGAGGGTTTTAAGGGTATGGGATGTTACCTGATTGGTAGCTGGGGGGGATGGTGGGGTCTTTTCCATCTTTTGGTGTGAATGGGGAGGGTCGCCAAGCATTGTGGTGAAGACGGCAGAGAGAGAGCTTCCCTCCCGCCCTCCCTTGTTTCCGTGTGGGTATTTTGTCAATCCCCTGGGGGGTTTTATTCAGGTTCGTGGGCAGTTGTTGGTCTTTGGAGGCGGCACTTATTTTGAAGTTAAAGAGAATGGTTTGGGACCAGGGGCGGACTGACAACTCATGGGG